AAAGTGTTAAAGAACAAAAATGTCACTTTGAGGACAAAGATGTGCCTGGCCTAAATCATAGCATTTTCAGTATCCTTGTATGCATGTGGAAGCTGAATAATGAATAAGGAAGACCGTAGAAGAATTGATGCATTTGAGTTATGGTGTTGGAGAAGCATATTAAAAGTACCAGGGACTGCCAGGAGAACATATAAATCTGTGTTGGAAGAAGAACAGCCAGAATGCTCTGTAGAAGCCAGAATGCTAAGACTTCCTCTCTCATACTTCAGACATGTTATCAGAAAGGACATTATGCTTGGTTAAGTGAAGCGTCAGTGAAAAAGAGGAAAACCCCCAATGTGATGAATTAACACCGTGGTTGCAACAGTGGCCTCAAACATAATTGTGAGATGGTTCAGGACTGGGTAGTGTTTCATTCTGTTGCGCATAGTTGTTAAGTGCCATCTAGCCTCCGGTTCTGTATAGGGTTTCTAAGAAGCAGCTGGTGGGTTTGAACTGCTGATCTTGTGGTTCGCAGTCAGTGCTGATCTCACACTGTCACACCAGGAGTGCACAGAGTTGCTATGAATTGGAACTGACTTGACTGCTAACAACAGCCCTAACTCAGAACAGTTTTTCAAATCCAGTCTTAATCATCCTGCTCCTACACCACAGTCCAGAGTCTGGGCAGCTTCATCTACCCCTGCCACTCCTCATACACTGCCCGCTACCTAGATCCTATGCTGTCCTAAGTCTCAGGCCCTCTGCCTCTTTCTCCTCACCTGACTGCCAGCACTGCGTAAGCTCAGGTATCACTTCCTCTCTGAAGTCCTCCTTGCTTTCCTCTCAAGTTAATGTTCTTCCCTGGTGGTTTCTGTATTCTAAGAGGGTCTCTCTTCTCCCCAACCCCAGGGAGATCCTCAAGGCTACAGGCCAGTCTGGTTCATCACTGTGTCTTCACATCTAGCTCCAGGCACCTCGGAAAACTTGGGTTGGGCTGCTCTTACCATTGCTGTGATAGGGATTTGGGGAATTAGGCCAGACCTGTGTCTCCTAGCTGTATGACTCAGGGCAAGTTATTTATTGGCTTTGTGCATCAGTGTCCCCATCTGTAAAATGGACTCAATCATCTGACCTCTCAGCGTTGAAAGGACTTCCATGTGTGTAATGTGCTCACTAGCTGGAAAATTGTGGGGTGAGTGGGTCCCTTCCCTGTTGTGGTCTCAGCTCTGTGCTTAGAAACAGTTTCTGAGCAAGAAGCCTCCTCAGGTCTTCCCCACAGGGAAGAAAAAGTGATGTCCTCTATGGTTCCTACCCCTCCTCTAGACCTGAGAAACCCCAAAGGAGTTAAGAGGCGGACTGGATCGAGCCCTGAACTTAGAGCACATGACTGTCTCCATCCTTCACTGGCTTTGAGACCCAGGGCAAGTCTCCTCACTTCCCTGACCCTCAGCTTCTCACATGAGCAAAGTAGTTGCTTAATTGTTATATCCCCAAAGCAATCTCCTGCTCTTCTCCTGATTCTTCCTGTAATTTGGGGTCTGGTCCAGAGGCCTCAGTGCACATTCCAGGCTGTGAAGAGGAGCCTCCCCATTCTAATAGTTGCTTGGGGTTTGGCTTGGGCACCTGTACACTAGATTAGTGCTGGACTCTGGGCAGCTCTTGGCACCCAGGAGGGCCCAAATGCTGCCAGCCCCCTAGGAGATTGTCTGTGGAGTCTTCCCAATGGAAGTCAGCGTACTTTGGGGGAACAGAGGCCCATCCCTCAGCCCCCACCCAGTTCTTCCTTCATGTGTTCAATCATTCTCTCACCACTGTACTTCCAGAAGGTTGCACTGAGCCTGGTAAATCATCAAAATCAGCCGCAGTTGAGTCAGTTCCAACTCATGCAGGTCCCACGTCTATCAGAGTAGAACTGTGTTCCATGAGGTTTCGATGGCTGAGGTTTCAAAAGTAGAACAACAGGCTTCTCTTCTCAGGCACCTCCAAGTGAACTTAAATCTCCAACCAACTGGTTAACAGCCAAGATTGTTAACCATTAGTATCACCCAGGGCTTCCAGTACACAGTAAGCAATAAAGAAATGAGGGAAAAAGAAATTTATTCCACATGTTTAATAAGCATTTATTGAGCACCTACTGTATGTCAAGCTTCGTACTAAGGTGTACAGTCTGTTCCTGACAGCCTCCTCCAAGCCCACACAGGGTACCTCTAACTCCACCCAGCTCTTCCCACCCTGGACCCAGCTCCCACTGACTGCCAGGCTCCAGGGCTTTTTCCAGAATCTAGATCATTGCCAAACACCCCATGCACCATGGGGCCTGGGGAGGCGTACTCCCACGGCTACAATTCTTCAAATCCTTCCCCTCTGTCCTTCATGCCTCATCTCACCCCTCCCAATGCCCTAAATCTACCCAGGGTTATACCCAGAGGGGCCAGCAGGTGGCGCCAAGGCTCCCCTTTTCCTGGAGCTGTACCAGACTCCAGAGCCCACCAGGACCCTTTCCCTCCCCTTTTCTGTGATCGCTAACTGAGGGGTAAACTCTGTGATCTCTAGCTGAGCCCTCTCCTTCTTGGTGGTTGTTGCAATAGAGGCCTGAGGAGGTTCTAGTTGCTCCTGCCAGCTATTCCCCTCCATTATCTTTTCCTGCCTGGTGGGTGAAAGGGGGTGGGGGGTCCCTAGGGGCTAAGCTGCAGCTGGTGGGTGGAGCTGGGTGGGGTGGGGCTGGTAGCAGCTGCAGGGCCGGAGAAACAGAGAGGAGAGAAGGAGAGAGGAAGCAGAGAGAGAGAGGTGGTCTGGAGTTTCCCTCCTCCTATCCCAAACAGGTTGAGGTCTCAGCTGAGACTCAGCCCCAGGACAAGGTATGTGGCTGAGGAAACAAACGGGGGTGGAAGCGGAGCCAGGCAGACCTGGAGGTATTGAAGGGCTGGCCATTTAAAGTCTTCTGTTCAAGGAGAAATCTTGAACAAGAAGAACTTTAGTGGGCAGCGGAAGGAGCCCTAGAGATGAGGATTCTATTCACTATATGAATCTACACCAGGTTCTTTCCATCGATGCACCTCAATTTCTTAATCTGCAATATTGCAGCTCTTAAAGACCTGTAAGATTCTGTGAGGTAACTTTGCAAGGTGTCTCCTTTCCAAAGAGGATTAGCTTTCCAGAGGCTTCTGGAAAACCACAGGGCCTGTAAGACCCAAAGGAATGCCCCACTTACGGTGACATGGCAGACTATGTATGTGTATGGGCAGCTCATTCAGTAGGATGGGTGCTCCCCCCCCAACCCCTCGCCATATCAGGGCCCTGCATCCTGGGCCCACGCGTCTCTCCTCAATTTTGTGTCTCTGAGACTTGGGGTTCTGTCATTAGGGAAAGGCAGTGGGTGTAGACTGAGGGTACCTCTTTGCTACTCCAAGATCAGGGGTGGATTGGACAGGGTAATGTGTGGGGGCAGAGGTAGGATCTGTATATCCACATTGGTGGATATACAGATGTTCCCAAGGTAACGAGGGAAGTGATGACTTAACCACTTGATTACCTATGGCTGTCTGCCAAGTTTCCAGAGCCCCCTGTGCCTTAGATCCATTAGTACACACACTGCTCACAACACTCAGCCCTGCCAGAATGAGGTGTGGCTAGCAGGGTGGGAGAAGGAACCCCTGGAGCTGCTCACCCTCACTCTGCCTCAACACTCAGGGAAAGAACATTCCAGATTGTTCTCAGGCTGGAGACGAACTGGCACCAGCAAATACTAGAATCTCAGTGAGTCCAGTGTGTGAAGTCACTTGGGGTGGGAAGGCAGTCAAGCTCAGGCTTGGGAGTTAGATTGGCCTGAGCTCAAAGCCTGCCTCTAGCAAGCCAAGTAACCCCTCTAAGCTGCAGTCTCTTTCTGTGCAAAGCTCATTGTAGAGTGAGGACTTTATAGGGCTGCAAAGTGTTGTGAGATAATGGCCCGGGACTGCAAGCTTGGTTTGAACAGCAAAGTTGGTCGTTCAAGCTAACCAGCCGCTCCTCGGAAACCCTATGGGTCACTATGGATCAGAACCGACTTGACGGCACTTAACATTACTCTCACTGTTGTTGTTGCTGTTAAGCGCCGTCAAGTCCATTCCAACCCATAGCGACCCTATCTAGGGTTTCCGAGGAGCGGCTGTTGAGTTTGAACCGCTGACTTTGCCGCCACACCAGGATTCTATTACTCTGTTTATGGAGATAAAAATGGAGACTACAAAACTGGGAAAGGGTGGGACTGAGGTTAATTGAACTCGACCCTTCAGTGAGTCAGGGCACCCTCATCTTAACCCCAGAGTAAACAGCGATGGAGCACAGAATGTATGCACCCCAGCACCTACTTAGCACCTGATGGTCACCTATTCCTACTTTGGTAAACTCCCCTCCGCCAACTCCTGCTCCAGCCAGCAAGGCCTCAGTTCTGGGGTAGAGAAGTGGGGACCCCCAGGCCGAGGGTGAAGTGTGGGCACAGATGATCATCTCCCTTTCGCCTAGGAAATGACTGAGATGAAGGGCCGGTCGGGGCTGTGTGTAGGGAGGTAGCAGACCTGAAGACAAGGGAGGGGTTAGGAGGTTGGTACTGACCACGGTGGGGGCTCAGAGAACCCCACTTGGGTTCCTGCGCAGGCCAGAAGGTGGGAGCCACCAGTCCGCGAAGCCCCCTTGGGGCCGGGACCGTGAACACTAGGTGGCCAGAGGGGGGACGCCCTCTGCCCCTCACCCCGCCCCCGCGCCTCTCCCCGC